AGCCAGGCCTGCCCCTTAGGGCTTCTGCTCAGGAGCCTGCGCCCCCTCCCAAGGCCCCTTCTCCTTCGGGAAGCTCTGTCTGTTCAGCCCCTGGGGAGTGGGGGAGAGCTGGGCTGAGGCAGAGCAGCGGGCTGGGGCTCCCCCGCGCTGGGGAGGCCCGGAGCCCGCCCGTCCCTAGACGTAGTTGCTGACCGGCCCCGAGCGCGCCGCCGTGTAGTTGGCAGAGTAGGGCTTCTCACTCTTGGGGGGGCAGCTGCAGCAGAGCAGGGACCCCCCAATGAGCAGGAGCGCGGAGCCAGCCCAGCCGATGTAGAGCGAGGCCCCCAGCTCCCGCTTCTGCGCCTCGGTGACCAGCGGGTTGTAGAAGTCGCGGATGATGTTGTTGGCCGACCAGCACACGGGGATGAGGATCATGATGCCCGAGATGATGAAGATGCTCCCGGCAACGATCGTGACCTTGGCTTTGGCAGACGCGTCCTCCACGCAGTTGGTGCATTTCCCGCCCACGAGGGCCAGGAGCAGGCCCAGCACGGCCAGCACGATGGCGATCACCACCAGGGCGCGGGCGGCCTGCAGGTCCTGGGGCAGGGCCAGCATGGAGTCGTAGACCTTGCACTGCATCTGGCCCGTGCTCTGCACCACGCAGTTCATCCACAGCCCCTCCCAGATGATCTGGGCCGTCACGATGTTGTTCCCGATGAAGGCCGTCACCCGCCACATGGGCAGCGACCGAGAGGGTGATGCCCAGCACCTGCAGCCCCATCGAAGCCATCTTGCCGTGCGCCCTGCCTCGCACGAGCCCGCACGGAGCTGACGGGTGTCCCTGGCAGCCGAGGTGCAGTGCTGTGCGGCTGGACCATCCGGACGAGTTATACACCTCTCAGGAGGCGGAGTGTCACTCCCCCCGTACAACCAGTTCCCCAGGATTCCTGGGCTCTGCATTCTCACCACCTCCGAGGACTCTTCCCTCCCCACGCAGCCTTCCTGCTCCCCCTGCAGTGGAGGGAGGCTGCTGCTGGAGGCACACAGCTGGGCTGCCTTTCAGCTCCCTCCATTGTCCTGAACAGGCTTTTCCCAGCTTCGCCCCAGCCCCCCAGCGAGTGGGAGACAGCGGAGGGAGCAGGCTCTGTGGGTGGAGGAAGCTTGAGGGGCTGGGGCAGGGGGCTGGGCGCCAGGCCCGTCTCTGCCACAGCCCCACAGTGTGATTTTGGCCATGTCACGTACGCCATCGGTGCCTCAGTTTCCCCCTCTGTAGAATGGTGCTCCCAGGGTCACTGCTGTGGGAGGGCTGGGCTTTCCACAGCTGTCACTGCTCTTGGCCTCACCCCGCTGGGCAGCCCCTGCTGAGCACAGCCCAGTGTGCAGAGCAGGGAGCTGTCACCGCGCCCCACCCTGCCCCAGCTGACAGAGCACAAGCAGCCCTCGGCTGTCCCATGGCTGGCTGTTGAGAGCATCCGGGTGTGAATCAGGCCTCAGGGATACGGTGTCCCCATTGTGCCTGGTCCCACCCATCCCCGAGAGCCCCAAACCGGTCTGAGCTGCTGCAGGCCGGCCAGAGGGGACAGGCTAGGGCAGGTCCCTGAGAACGAGCACGGCGCACGAGGGCTTTCGTGGCTGTCACCACAGCAGCCTCCTCCCCTGCACAGCGGTGCCAGGCCCTGACTCAGCCCAGCCTCTGCTCAGAGCCTCCCCTCCACACCTCTCCGGCAGGGCAGGGGGCGGAGCGAACTGGGGCCGCCCTGCCTTTCGCCTTGGGGCTGCCGGCCGCTAACCCAGGTGCAGGACGCTGGCCCTTCCCTGCCCAGCCCAGCTCGCCGGGCGCACGCCTGCGCTCTGCTGGGACGCGAGCGGGATCAGAGCGATGCAGCTTCGGAGGGGACGCGCCCTAGAGAGCCGCCAGCTGGCCAGGGAGAGCCGCGGGCCCTGGGGCAGAGTGGGCCACGGGGCTCTCCC